AAAAAAAAAAAAAAAGGGACAAACGTGCTGATTTAGACACTTTTAACCTTAAAATAAAGACAATCATAAACACAAATAAATCACAACAGGGCATGCGCACTGTGCATGTCTACGTAACACTGTACATGTCTACGCAACACACGCAAACGTAAACAAATCGAGGAGGCGGTTACCCTGCGTTACTTAACGCTAACGTTAAAAACCGATGTTTAGACGCAGCTGGACCCGTTTATATCCACAGTCACTTGCAAACACAACTAAAAAAAAAAGAAAAGTTGTTTAGTGAAAAAAAAAAACAGACGTCAAGTGAGCAACTAATAAGCGTGTAATTAACGTTAGGGGGCTAACCGCTAGCTCGCATTAGCCCGCTTCCTCAAACACATCACAGCTTCCACTAAAGGCTTTTTATTTGGTCCCTTGTCGTGAATATAACGTTATATCACCGCGCTGTTGAACACACACACACACACACACGGTGGATGTGAGCGACTGTGTGGCCTTTCAATAGCAAGAACAGCTCAAAATTTAACGCGTCCGATAATGGATGCATAGCTGTCCGACAAAGGATCCTTTCCGTTGACGTTACTCCCGAACGTTAAAGGGACTGACAACTTCGAGTCGAGACGTAAACAAAAAAAGATGAATTAAATTAAAGAATAACGGTGAATTAACACATGCAACTCACTTTTTCTAATATTACAATCTAACTGCACGAAGGATGCGTACCTTTCTTTTCCTTGGTTTTCCTCGGTATGTGGAACTTGAGCGGCTCCTTCGGCATATGTCTCTGGTGGACCACCTGAAGTACCGAGTTCCTCCGGTCCATCTTCCCCCCGGCGGCGCTCAGTCTGCCCGGACCGAGGTGACTTTCTCGGGGTGGGTGTACCTCGATTACCTCGCCATCTTGCAGGCTAGTGTTAGCTCCGAGCTCGGCAGCAGCAGCAGTGGACACCCGCCTCGGACGAGCTGCTGCTTCCCTCCGAGACAGGCTTTCATCCATTGGTGGGATTCTGGAACAACCAGGGGAGACGCCCTCTCGTTCCAAGCCGCCTCTCACTCACTGTTCGTCGGCTAGAGCCCCCGCGATGACACCGCCGTTACCTCCGGACCCCGCAGCGCAGGGAGTCGAGCCGATACACAACCAGCGCCATGCTTCCTGGGACCCGCTGATCTTCTTCACGTAGATTTCAACTGCAGCGGGGTTTTTAATAAATGTTACTTTACTGCCATCTTCTGGAAATAATCCTTTTATGCAGTGTTCATTTGTTCATAGAGAAGTCTTGTAGGGAATAGTATGGAAGCTTATTGCGTTCACTTGAAAATAAATAAATAATAAAAAAAACTGCGGTTTTTGTGAGTATTTTTTTTTTTTGGTTTGTTTTTTTTAAATATTTTTTTCTGTTTTTCTGACTTTTTTTTTTGGTTTGTTTTTCTGAGTAATTTTTTTTCTGTTTTTTCGGAGTAACTTTCTGACTTTTTTTTTTTCTTGTTTTTCTGAGTAATTTTTTCCTGTTTTACGGAGTAATTTTTTATAGTGTAGTATTATTTTTTTATCTATTGTTTCAAATGCTCTCTAAACTCAGAAAACAAAATTAGTCCGAAAAACAGAAAAAAAACAATTATTCAGAAAACCAGAAAAAAATTACTCAGAAAAACCAACCATAAAAATAAATTACTCAGAAAAACACAAATAATTACTCAGAAAAACAAACCAAAAGTGAATGCAATACGCTTCTGTAGAATGGCAAAGAAATTGGTAAAAATGTAAGGACAGAAATAAAACGACAGAAAGTCAAATTTATGAAATATGACTTTTATTTATTATACTAATTTTTATAGGAACAAATTAGTTTTAATACTTATTAAGTAAAAAAAAAAGCTGTCACAAACAATTGGCTAAAATTAGAGCCACCCACCATTAGTGAATGGATACAAATAATACATGAAATATATGTTATCCAAAAATTTTTTTTTTTCTGGATTTGGATCAAGTGGAATACATTAAACCTATACGGCAGACTTTACTTAACTTGGTAGAATGTGTGGAAATATATATATACATATCAATCACACCAATTATCCCTTTTTTACTTCTCTAAAATGAAAACTTCCCATGTTCAACTGTAAATAATTAAAGCTGATGTTGTGTAAGAAGAAGGGGTAAACTGGTTTAATAGTAAAATAGGGAAAAAAGAGATACTATTTATAAGCAATCTCTTAGTTAAAATTTTGTAAATCACATCATTTTAATCCAGGAAGTTCAAATACAGATTAATTTTGGTTTACCAGCTTTCAGCTTCCTTTGCACCATCGCACTATTGTTCTTTGTGTATATCTGAACATTGTAGTTTCTGTATTTTTTTAAGCTTGATGCCTGTTTATTTATGCTTATTTTGTGTATGTGGCCAATAAATGTAACTCATTATGATTCCTTTGATTTTTAAATTAAATGTTTCATTTTTTGCACAGTTGACAGTAACAATTAGACTGAGCAATGTCAGACAGCAACACAAGTCAAAAATAAAGAAAAACATCTAGATTTTTTTCTGTGTATACTATTGCTAGTATTTTATTCTATATAAACTGTATAACATCAAGGAAGGTAGGGGTTTATCAATGGTAGCTAATCCTCTAGTTATACCTCATAGACGAACAAAAGTGCACAGCAAAAACCTTTTTTGTCTTTATTTAAACATCCCCACATTTCCTTTGCAATCACCAGTAACCACCCACTCACCGACAGGTTTCTTTTACAACAGTTTATTGGTGCTTTGATCCTGTGACAATCCACACATTAGTAGATACCACAACTAAATATTACCATTTTATGTTTCATGAACAGAATGAAGAGCAACTGTCACATATTTTATTTGGGACATTTTCTCTTAAGTCTTCTCTGAAATGTGCAAATAATCTTTCTTTAACAATTTGGTAACTTTCTAATAGCCTTAACATTGTGGTGTCCTTAATCCATTAATAATCTTCATCATCATAAACAGCATTGGGCTAGTTACTCAAAAATCTTTAATCACCCATTATTCTTTTAAAAAGTAATATGATTACTTTACTTATTACTCCCTGCCAACAGTAATTAGTTACTAGTTATATTACCTTTGTGCTACTCCTTCTCTCCAAAATTCAGACTTACGTCGATTGAAATTCAGTTTTGTTTGTTAAAATCAAAGTAATGTGAATACTTCCAGCTGAATATAGTATGTGTCACCATCTTCCAAACTAGTTTCCTCCACAATTACAAAAAATTATCCAAGGATGTGATTGAATTGCTGGATTTTAAATCAGTAGGAGGGTGGAAACAAAAGGAAGGTTGTAACTAATTACTGAAACTTGAAATCTATTAGTAATTAGTTACACTACTAGTTACTGGGGGAAGTAATATTCTTACTAGCCATGAGTTACTGCCCAACACTATCAACAACAACTAAACCGACCTAACCGTTATAACATCAAACTGATTGTCTTGACATTGTACGTCATATTTCTCACATAATGTGTCAGCACATATATGACATAACAGACATGCTTGGCTTTGTTCCTACATTCATATACAGATAGACTTAATATACATTCTTTACATACATACAGTACATACACAACAGGCTCCTCCTCCAGGACCTCTCTGATTGCCGTGACAAAACACTGGACATTTCCCTTTAGCAGCAGTGTGTAGTAACACCTACAGCAGCTGAAGGTTGTGTCAGTCTCACAGGATTTTGTGGTAAAACCGTGGCGATAGATGAAAATCCATTTAACATTTAATATTTTTGGAATGCCTTAAGTAAACTACAATACTGTATTGGTAGCCTTGTCTGCCATCACCTACATTTATGCACAACTATTTGGGATTAGCACATTATGTTTTGAAGGAAAAGTTACACCATATGGAGAAATTAAGTTTTTCTTCATATCGTAAATGTTTGCGAAATAGTCACTGAATTTCTTTTTTTCACAGATACACAGCTACCGCCATCTCGCTTTATAAACAGGGTTTAACAGGATAGATTTAAGACTTTTAAAGACCATGTTAGACCATTATCAATTCAATTCAAGACCTATTTTATGTCCGTACTAGAAAAAAAGTAAAAGAATATGAAGGAAAATTTGTATTGTATATTTGTTGTTTTCCCCAAAACACATTGACTAAAAATGCATTCATACAAGCAACGTCAACTTCATTATTCCAATCAATTTTTTAACACCTGTCAAAATCATATTTAGGTGATTGGATTTTAAACTTTTTAAGACCCTGTATAAAATGCTTATCACAGACAGAGAACACCATCTCATTGGAGTCGTTTGTGTCCATCTGATGAATGCCAGTCCAATCTTAACTCTCTTTTAGCTCTGGTTTGGTCTCCTGAGAAAAATATCTGACTGTTTAGCTGCTACATGTTCCACTTTATTCACCAGCTGGTCTCTAACTTTATCTGTCTGTAGTTTGGTGCTGGGCAGGTGGTGCGCAGAAAAAAAACACAAGTATTGAATCATACAGTAAATGTGCCATAAAACCAAAACTAGGACCTGAAAGAAGCTAAAAAAAAAAACAACAAAAAAATGTTGATTAATGCAGGTTTGAGGCAATAGGCAATTAAAGCTCTTTTGAAGAAAAATCATAGTCATGGTTAAATACCTTCATCACTCCTGCACTGAGCGTTGCCATCACACATACTGTAATCACTGCACCTCCATTACTTTTCCCTAAAAATTATTTTTCTAATGCAGACTATTTGCACATGAACATTATTTGTAAGAGGCTGGTTGTTTGTGTTTTAGCAAATCGTTGTGAATCTAAACCAACTGGCTAATAAATGTCTTGGAACTTGATAATCTATCAGAACTGGGTGCACAGCTCTCTTTTCTCCAGTGTTTTCAGACATTTCAGACAACTGATTTTAAGACATCATTTAAAGATAGTTTTGGATAGTTTTAGAAGTTACAGAGATAGCTGAGAAGCAAGAAATCCTTTAAAAGATCTGGAAGAACGAAAATCCCCCAAATTATAGATACAAAATTCTAGTTTAGCTAGTTTGAGATGATTACTGTTTCATTGGTTTTGGAAAGCTGCAACTCCAGCTGACATAGTTTTTGACAGAACCTGAAGTTACAAAATCTCTGCAAGGTGATAAATGACCAGTAGTCGTAATACTAGAGCTTCCTTTTAAGACTTGATATTTGCAATCCTCAGTTTCATATCTTTTAACATTGAGTTAGCATTGACATAATTCATTATCATTAATTGGAAGTGTTTTAAATGCAAAAGGCCATTTATATTTATTTATAACCTTTGTGTAAATTACCTGAGAATGCTGCTGATATTGTTTACAACAGAACTGTGGCAGAGGTTTTCAGTAAATCTTAACCAGCAAATAGAAGAAATGTGCCTTTTCTGTTTAAAATAACTGGTAGAGCAGTGCTTTTTAAAGGTGCCCTGGGGAGTTTTCTTGTTATTTTTACTTTCAGTGTTTCTCACCAAAACACAATGTGTGTTTTCTTGTTCTGAATGTATTTCCTTCCTCTAAAAACATCAGCTAGCAGTATTCTTGCTACACCAATTGTCAATCAGTGGAATAGCTTGAAACCATCAGCAGGAAATTGTATTGGTGCACGTCCATGTATATCCTAGTGCACATCCAAGTATAGAGCATGAGATACAAACAACCTGTTCATAGTGTCAGTATTGGTCACAAACTCCACAGGGTAACTTTAACAGCTCAAACAGCTCAAACAACTGAAAGTTTTGAATTAATTAAGAGGTGACAACCTTTTGTAAAGGCCAAGACTATTGACCCTTCCTAAGTCCCACCCCTTTTTGCTCTGTGCTCCAATAACAATTAAGCAGTGTGGCTGTCTTTTCAACATAGACAAGCCTAGCACATGTATATACAGGAGAAAGTTGACTGAAGTTCTGACCGAGGTTTCCTCAACTCTTATTGGAGCACAGAGCAAAAAGGGGCGGGACTTAGGAAGGGTCAATTGGCAGCAAACCAGTTTGTCCAAAGGCAGGTCAAGTGCAAAATAAAAGTAAGTTAGCTAATGTTATGAAGATATAAATTCAGGGTAAAGTAAACTGGGATCAAACAAGCTAGGAAATATGTTTACCCTCTAATGTGGTGAACTGTGATTACCATGGCAACACGGTCAACTTGTGTGGAACACAGCGGTAGTCATAGTAACCTGACAAAAGGTCAAACCCCCAGGAAACAGCGTTTGGCTGATACGCAGTGACTACAGTTGGAACTGCAGGTCACATGAAAAATACTTTTTCCTATACACATACTGTATATAAATTCACAAGGCAGTGAAGCCATAAATCAATTTTTTTCTTTCAACTTAAGTGTTTGAATCATTAGAATTTGAGGCATTGGGTCTGATAAACATACACCAGTAAATCAATTCATGTGTGGGAAGTCAGCAGGAAGTCGCTCTATCGGGAAAAAAAGAAAAGCATGAGAAACCTTGAAAAATGTTTTTTACAGTATGTGCCTGGTGAGCAACTTTCACTAGAATGAACAGGCCACCATCCGGTGCTCAAGTCCGGTCTCAAGATATATTTTTTTTGTGTCTCAGACTTGTCTTGGACTCTACCAATTCCCAACTACCTCCTTCAAAACAAAACCATTGATGAAGCGCGCTTGTTCAGAAAACAAGGTATTGGTTTAATTTTAAAATCCATCTAGAATGGGCACTGACAATCGATGCCTCTTGCATGCCTGGCTGCAAAAACTCATCTCACTGGCAAGTAACAAAGGCATTCTTTTTTTTCTGTCTCTCTCATTTGGACTCTTGACTTGGACTCGAACCTCTTTGGACTCCGGCTTGACTCGGTATAGACTAGTCCTGGTCTCTGCCTCGACGAAACATGGTCTTGACTACGTCACTGGCACCGTTCTCTGAACACGGTATCCAGTCGTCTTAATACATCCGTGCAGTCAGCACAGTCACGTGGGGGGCCAGTGTTCCATGGAATGGGGTGGCATTCTAGAACACAGTGGTTACCACGGTTACCAGCAGTCAGGATACAGCAGTTGCAGCGTTCTAGAACACACTGGTTAAATGTGTAGTGACAAGTTTGTAGTGATATTCTTTTGTCTTTGTCTTTGTCAGTTGCATCATCACCAAGTCCTCAATTCGATTGGTCAGCACCTGTGGGTCAGCTCCTCGCACTGCAGTGAGTCAACATCGCTGGTATCCATGCCGACCTCTTCGCCCTCCTCTACCCCACTCCGCTCCTCCTCCATCACCTCCCCCTCCTCTTGACAAGGAGAAGCAGAGGAGATAAGGGGGTCGGGAATGTTTTTAGCACCTTCGTTGAGAGTCTCTCTTTTTCCTGCGTCCATCTTCGGGTCTGCACTGGCTCCTGGCTCTGCTCCCGTGACGCCACAGACACCCTGCCCTGTCTCCATCTCCACACCCGTCTCACTGATCGTTGGCCTCATTTCACCGTCTGTCCCTTTTTCTCCATCTAATTCCAAACTCATCCCATCATCCACACCCAAACCTGTCTCTACCTCCCTACCCGTCACCCCAACCTCTTCACCCAAACTGGGATCTTTCTCTGCACTCAGACCTACCTCTCCTTCCAAACGCAGCCCTGTTTCCACCTCCCCCCACATCCCCTTTTCAACTTCAATACCTGAATCACTGCGCAAACTCAGACCTGTCTCACCAAGCAGCCCTATCTGTCCACCCAGCTCTGTCTGTCCACCCAGCTCTGTCTTTCCACCCAGCTCTATCTGTCCACCCAGCTCTGTCTGTCCACCCAGCTCTATCTGTCCACCCAGCTCTGTCTCCAGACATTGTCCTGTCTGTGGCGGCTGGTCTCCAGTCAGTGCTGCAGCTTCCTTGGCTTGTCGGATGCAGTTGATCCACTGTTGTTTGTTGAAAGCGTCACTGGCCTGGAAGCAGTGGCTCTGCAGCTGACCTCCAGTACGGTAGGAAACCCGGAAGAAGTTCTTTGCTGTGAGGAGGAGAGAGGGTGAGAGGGACAGAAAGAGACATGGGTGGTTATTATGGTCAAACATCTGTGCCAATAAGTTTTAAATTTGTATTTTGTAATTTGGAAGTATTGAATATTCGTTGACTCAGAAAGTAAAATACTAAACCGGCACTAAACACTAAAGTACTTTTGGCCATACAGTGTATATATTATAGTAAAGTGTATATGGTATATAGTATGGAACTGTGACACAGTAATTGTTTTACAACAGACAATATAAAAAATATAAAAAAGTGAATGCCTGCAAACTGATCCTGATTTCCTAAACAAAATAAAATGTACTGACTCCGCTCATTGTTGCTGAAGGCTCCTCTGATGGACCCGCCCACTCTCATCTCTCCGTCTGATAGGTCCTCCAGGTCCAGCTGTCGGATTGGGATTGGCTGGCGGCAGAGCTGGTAGGTGACAGGCTGGTCGTTCAGCGAGACGGACCTGGTGATGACCAGGACGTCCTGGAACAGAAATACGTGGAGCTTCTGCAAAGACAGAGACATTATTCTTCACTTGGGGATTCCTATATCAGGTTTCTAAATTTGTTTTGTTTTTTTACACAAAACTGTTATGACCGGAGTGACTCATAAATATTTATAAAAATAATATATTTTATATTTATTAATCTTTAAAGAACCAACAGTCACATTACAAAGCACAGGCCTCCACAGGATCCAAACTAGCAACTATTGCTGTATAAATTAAAAGGTTGGGGGTCGGTGGGTATAAAACTGTAGAAATCTACTTACGAGTCCTCTGTTGTTCTTCAGTTCTCCATGGCAGCTGAGGGTCTTGGACCGGTCAATGAGTTCATCCTTCTGTCCGTCCTCCGCGTACAACAGACGGTCCTTGTAGTACTGACACTCCGACTCCCCCGTCCGCCTGTTGATGTCCGCCACCACGCTCTGAACCATCAGCATCTGTAGACCATACAGACAAGATCTAACCCCATCCATATACATTTTATATAATCTGATCTGTTTTCTCTTTATTTAATGTAACAACTGAGTGAACACTAATCATGTTATTTCCTGCTAACTAAGTCTGACAGCGGGGTGAACCAGGCTTGTGTAACAAAGGTGTATAGTATCTTATTGTTGGTTTTCCTCACCGCCTCGTCCAGGTGCTGCCGGTCTGGGTGGTCGTTGGGCGTGTGCTTCAGGATCTCCCGGAGCAGCAGCGGGTATTTTACCAGTCGGCTGCGGGGAATGTCCAGGAAGTTCCACAGGTCCAACTTCCTGCTAAAGGGGGACTGGAGACAGCGCTGCAAGAAGTCCTGAACCCGCCGATCCTGCTTCTTTTGGTCCAACAAGGCCTTGGCCTGCACCTGGTTACTGCAGTACGGCGTGTAGGAGGAGAGACAGGGCAGCTGCAGGGACACAGAAACAGAGACCTGGTTGCTACAGAGTGTAGGAGACAAGGAAATGTCAAACATTTGTCTTGAGCACTTAAGAATAAATGGCATGAACTGTAATTATTCTCATGATGTTAAGTTAAAGGTCCAGTGTGTAACATTTAGGATGATCTATTGGCATTTAGTTTTCATTAGTGGATAAACACCTGGATATAGGAATGGTTATGTTTTTGTTACCTCTAGTTAGGGGTGTTCCCATTTTTCATGTGTTTTGCAGCAACCATAGAAAGGAATTGTGATCTGCAACTTAACTACTAGATGCCACTAAATCCTACACACTGGTCCTTTAACCAGTTTAACCTTTAACCACGTACCCAGTCAGTCAGGATGTGTCCCACATGTTCTGTGGACCCGTCAGGTTTTCTAGCGTCTCTGAGGCGACTCAGTAGGTCTGAGGAGAGACAGACAGTTTAGAAATTAGATACAATGGCAACACTTTTTAGTGCCACCCAGAAATATTGACACAGCTACAGCATGAGCTACAACAACACCATGAGCCTAATAGGGCTGGTATTGTCTGACATTTTCCAATACTAGTGCCAATTGGATACCATACAATTACATATTGATACCGCAATGAACAAACATGTCCGATTACTGCTGTGACTTTTGACACTGATATGTGAAAGAGACCAGGGTGCTTATTCAGACATGAGACAGATTAACACAAAGGGGGCCTGTCTGAAAAGCCCTCTGCTACCTGTGACCTTTGGACTTACCTTCATGCAGGGGTATCAGTGAGTCCAGAGTGCCAAAGATCTGGTTCAGCTCCTGCTCAGTCATGATTGACAGCTTCAGCATCGGGTCATGGTAGGCCTGCAGCGCACACACACACACACACACACACACACACACATACGCACACATGAGAATCCTGTAGAATAAATACAGGAGGAAGTCAGTTCTACAAGGAAAAAATAAAGGTTTTTGTTTTACCTTCTTAGCCAACTTGAGATCCTCCACCAAGTCTTGCTCGCCCTGAGCCAACTCAAATATAGCCTGCAGGAAGAGAGAGAGAGTTTGAGAAACTATAAGTGTTAAGAGATGGATGAGATTTGAGTTTGATGAGGTTGAAAGAATATAGATTTAGCTATTTTGTAGTGTAAAATGGAGAGTCAACTTTTTCCGCCACTGATGGATTAGGATGAAAATGTATTTTTTTATATTTTTAAGTGTATTTTGAAAAGTTGGTTGTTTTGTGTGGTCATTTAAATCTCACTCATAAAAAAAGATAAAAAGTGAAGCTGTCATAAATTCACTTTTTATCCGGTTTTAAGCCACATTTTTATGATACACTACAGATTTTGGTAATTTTTTAACTGTATTTTTTTACCAGATAAAGGATTTTAGTCATTGGACGTTTGGATCCAACATAAGAGACCCCAGACAGCCCTATGAGAGAAATTGTTGTGGCACATAAAAGAAAAATCCTCCAGTCCAGCAGCAGCAGTGTGTCTCTCACCTCTTGTCGTTTTATCTCTTTTGGGCTCAGAGGTTGCGTCGCTCCCAGTCGGACGTCAAACGTCTCACTCCAAAGCTTGCTGTCCCGGCGCTTGGCGGCTTGGGCAGTTGCTGTGGAAACCCGTGTGGCAGTCATGGAGGAGGAAGGGTTAGAGACCGTTGCTGAGATAATCCGCGTCTTCATTGTTGAGGAGGAGGGAGGATTATGAGCGGCTCTCTCCAGCTGACTCTCATTACGAAAACTGATGGAACGCTGCAGAGAAATGGATAAACCAGTTGAAAAATACAGAATGATATCAATATTTATTTCAGATATGTTTTCTTTTTTACTGCTGATTGTCAGAGCAACAATCTGACATATGTTCAGTATCTGTAGCATAGAGTTGCTTGGTGGGAAGAGCTAGTTTGAGCATCCCTGGTTCCAGAAGTAAAAGTCCCATTAGTTTGTCCCAAAGACAATGTTACAAGTCTCACAGTTGGAGCACTTGGATTGGCATGAATCTCTCCTGGATCATCCGTTCAAAAGATGAACCATTGTGTTAGAAAATATCTGGTTCTTTGATTAAAATGTCATAAAGATCATAATGTTTAGCAAACTGACTTTACAATTTGCAGCAAAATCAGTTCACTTTTGAATTGTGGGTCAATTCATTATGAAATCAGCAGCTATATTGCTGTGTTCTGTTCACAAATTCAACAGCAAAGCATTTTGAATTATCATATTGAACTATGGTTCTGATTCGCACCTCCCTCTCCATAGCAATGGTGGCGGAGGCTCATGGGTATTGTAGTACTGCTGTCAACTGGGAACACAGATTAGAACGTGCAATTATGCAATTAATTGACTAAATAAAAAAAGATGTCTGGTGGTTCACCTGTAGTGTTTGACTGATCCTCTTCAGCGGTGCTGTCTTGACGGGCGGCAGCAGGCTGGCCAGAGACGTCACCCTGGATACAACTTTGCTGCGCTTGGTGCTGGGCTCCTGGAGGAGAAAAATCAAAGAATTTAAATATTTCAGACTTTTGCTCAACCCCAGCGATTATACCAACAGAGACACTTGCAGACAGTGATGCACCACCACCCCCGTAAAAAAGTCCAAACACAGGATTTCTTTTCTTTGTCATCTTTATTTGCAGCCACTGGCAGAGCTCACAAAGGTCAGTTCAGGTCGGGGTAAAAAAAAAAAAATAAGGTGTCCAACCCATCAGGTAGATTTTGAGATATTTCACTGGACACATTTCACATTTCAAAAAGGCTTTTTTTGTAGGAAAATATGTTTTCTCTCTTCTCCCAACTGGCTTTGGTAAGAGTTTGACTACGATGGTTAATTGATCTGATTGGTTG